GGTTCATTGTAAACTGCGTCACAAAAGTTGAAATAAAATAATAAAAATAATAAATTAAAATTATTAAAATTATTAAAATTATTCTCTCCCTTTATGGGGCTCATCAGGGATAACAAAACAAATAATTCAAATGAACATAACTTGGTTAAGTGTCTCAACTTGTTGGAGGCTGTGCCACCGGTTGGCTATTTAACAAGCGTGGCCGAGGATTTAAACTCGGGACTAGTCAGTGTGATTATTGAAATCAGTATTAGTAACTTATCAGTCAATCCAGCAGGCGGTTAGGGCGGGACTGACGAATGCTATCCAAAATTGAAGATAAAATTAAGATATTTTCTTTATATACATATTCTAAAGGGCAAAGGAGGATTATGCAAACGCTAAAACAAACAACCATGTTTTAATTTCGATTTGTCCATTTTTTGAGTTGAGGTACAACGAGGTACATTGTCATTCCTTGAAATTATATCCCTTCCTCTCTACAAAAATTGTAATGGTTTGACAGAACCTCGACTATTGTAGGAGGAAAGTTACACATTTCTTGAAGTACCCGACCAAGACAGTGAAGATTCAGCTCTCTTAGCTTTGTCGTAAAAAAAGGCATTTAATTATACATTAATAGTGTTGAAAATTCGCTCAGTATTATCAATTTAAATTAGTGCTAATCAAAAGGAATGAAATAAAACAAACGCACTTCAAGCCGTCAAACAAGCTCTTTTTAAAGGCCGAAAAATCATCCCCGACGTTCACGATGCATCCAAAATGGCCACGTTAATACACGTGAAAAACCGCGAAATATTGCCTCATAAAATCATGGGAAGACTGCATAATCCTCCTTTTTAAACGGCTTAAATCAAATAAATACCAACAAGGCAAACAACGTCATGAACGTAACAAATAGTACACACAAAGAAAATAAAAACAAACAAACAAACTAAAAACCAAGCAAAAGAACGTAAACAACGAAATTATATAGTGTACAATTGAATGATCTACAGAGCCTGCAAGGAACTTGCTTTCACAGTGGTGATCTGAAGAGATTTCCTGGATCGATGGGTAAACATGGAGAAGGCAAATGAATGTCCCTTGCACTGAAGACCAGTCTTGGGAAACATTATCAGACAGACATTTACAAATAATTGTGATTACTTAAAAATACTACCACTAATCACTGGCACCCAACGACGTTTCGTCCTAGTAAATACACTGAAAACACTTTTTAGGCTATGTAGAGTACTTTTAGATCTCTAGAAATGTAATATAAGCCGCGCTAAAAAATTTGTATCTGTTCGGTCATCCTAGGGGAAATTGAGTCTTTTCGAAATTGCAAGAGGTTCTGTTTTATATTCCCGAAAATTTTAGATGCAATTTAACGTTACGAAAGTGAGAATTTTTTTTATTCTTCTCCATCGCATTTTTGAATCCGAAAAGTTTACGTTTCTTTTTTTCTACGAAAAATGGCCTAACCTGTGGAGTGAAATGTGAAACTAAAAAATTAAACTGTAGAAAATCCCAGGAAATTTATCAGATAAGCTTCGAAAATTGTACATGAATAGAACGGTCATCTAGAAATCTTTAGCCGTCCTCAATTAGTAGAAAATTCTAGGCAGTATCTGNAATGATCTACAGAGCCTGCAAGGAACTTGCTTTCACAGTGGTGATCTGAAGAGATTTCCTGGATCGATGGGTAAACATGGAGAAGGCAAATGAATGTCCCTTGCACTGAAGACCAGTCTTGGGAAACATTATCAGACAGACATTTACAAATAATTGTGATTACTTAAAAATACTACCACTAATCACTGGCACCCAACGACGTTTCGTCCTAGTAAATACACTGAAAACACTTTTTAGGCTATGTAGAGTACTTTTAGATCTCTAGAAATGTAATATAAGCCGCGCTAAAAAATTTGTATCTGTTCGGTCATCCTAGGGGAAATTGAGTCTTTTCGAAATTGCAAGAGGTTCTGTTTTATATTCCCGAAAATTTTAGATGCAATTTAACGTTACGAAAGTGAGAATTTTTTTTATTCTTCTCCATCGCATTTTTGAATCCGAAAAGTTTACGTTTCTTTTTTTCTACGAAAAATGGCCTAACCTGTGGAGTGAAATGTGAAACTAAAAAATTAAACTGTAGAAAATCCCAGGAAATTTATCAGATAAGCTTCGAAAATTGTACATGAATAGAACGGTCATCTAGAAATCTTTAGCCGTCCTCAATTAGTAGAAAATTCTAGGCAGTATCTGTTTCTCCGAAGAGATATTTTACAGAAAACAGTCGTTGGGTGCCCCTGACTAATAAGCTAAATTATAAAGAAAAAAGAAAAGAAATGAATAATAGAAACAATACATGAATACACTATAGTAAAATTGTGATTTGTTAACAAATAAAAACTAAACAAATAGAAATCAACATGATAAAAAGCAATCAAAACTTTTAAAATGGATAATTAGCCTCGTTCGGGAGAAATACCCGCTGACCGGCTGAAATTGCTTTTTGGTCTGATTCAGTTGATTGGTTCGACGCGTCCTAAGTTCGACGTCTAACCCAACAGACGATCTTATTTTAATTGAATTCGACCCAGATTAGTGTTTGGTTCGATTCGTCTCATGAAAAGTTCGACGTTTGGATTAGGCCTTAGTCCAGCTGCAATCAGTTTTAAGAAAGGGTAAATAAAAGAAAAAATTAGAATGACTATTAGTTCTATGTTTAATATTCACAAAACGTCATGACTGGTTTCAATGTACACAAATGTAAGGTAGATATCACCGCTTTATTAGACGACGGATGCGCAGTACACGTCATCATCTCGCCCCATGTTTGGGAATCCGGATACCAGAATCTTGGAAATTTTTACCTGTGGAATCCGGAATCCTAGGCCTTGGAATCCGGAATACAGAGCTGTAGGAGTCCGGGAATCCCACTAACGATTGGAATCTCGAATCCAAGTCCCACTGAAAACGATTTCGAATACAGTAGTTGGAATTCTGAATCGATCCATGTCGTGGAATCCAGAATCCAAGACTGTCTTAGATTCCCTTACATCGGGCGAATCTTCGCATAATATAGCACTGAAACAACCCATTTTTCATCCTTTACATTTTAAACGTATCATTATATAGTTAATGTTTTTAAAATAGATGAAACGCACTTTCTTAAGTCAGAACTGGCCTGTCAGACCGGCCATTTTGAAAAGTGTTTTAGTCTTTTCTCGAACTTTTTACTAAAATCCTTCACTGCTTTGCATACCATTTAGGAATTTAGTGACCTGGCGTGATAGTTCTGATTAATAATGGATATTCTTCTGACGACTGGACTGGTCTAACCGGGCAGTTCTGACGGTTAGTGCCCTTTGGTTTTCTGTATATTTTATGAATGCTTTAGCTTAGGTTTCCCCTTTTAGCAGAAAGATTTTCCCTCAGTTATATACATTTGACGATAAGGCTACGTAGAGGTCATTTCTATGTCATAGGCTATTAAAGTGTCCGCGGACTCCGCAACACGTTGGTCTCTTTGCACAAACTACACTCGTTTTATTACAAAGTCTAATTTGTCCCAATCGACAGAATCAGCTTTCATCGGATTGTGTGGTTATTCTATTCCCCTTTTGTTCATCTAAGCTGAGTTTCTCTATAGTTTCTCCTCTCCTTGGTTTGTTTCAACGTCTATAATGACCTCGGCTGGCCGGGTTTACATCATCATTCTCATGTTATTTTGCTATTGTTCTCCTTGATAATTACACGAATTTAATTTTTCTCCCTGTCTAATGTTTTTATGTCGAGGATAGAACTGATGTAGTTAAAATCACGTTCCTATCTCTCCCCTCCCTGGCCCCAGTTACACAAAAAGGTAAGAGTGCTATCCACTAGATATATCTGTATCCAGTGGAAAAGACAATTTGGTTTCCCTAATACTTATCCACTGAGTAGTGATTTATCCGGTGGATAGCGCTATCCAACTTTTAAACAGCTTGGGCCTGAATTTTCTAACATCTGTTTTACTATAGTATCGCCTCAGTTGACATAGTGTAACTCCTCTCTGTTGTCTCCCTGGTTTGCTTCACCATCTGTTATGTTCATATCGTTTTGGTTGACCTAATGTTCGGCTCCTGTCTCTTCCTGCTTTTCTGTCGTACTTCTAGTCGCACTGCTTTGGGATGCTCCATTACCTACAGCATTTGAACCAAAAAATTTCTTTTCGAATTCGTTAGCTTCGCTGTAGCTTTTACTCATCATCAGTTCAATAAATGCTATACGAAACTGCCTTGATCTAATACAATAAATGAAGGGATTCATAAGAGAGTTTAAAGCTGCCAAGGAACCAGGGATGAGATAAAGAGCACAAAATGTACCCAAAGAAATGTTATTTTTTAAGGGCTCCGTAACTGCTCTGAAAATAAAAATGGGCAGATAACTTATAAATAACAGTGCCACAACACTCATTGTCAGTTTAAAAGCTCGCCTTTGCTTTAAAAAGTTTTCTCTTGCCTCCAATGAAACTTGCTGGTCTGCTATTTGCTTTTCATGTCGTCGAACCTCAAAGTACAGTACCACATTAAAGACAACAATGCCCACCAGAAGTAAAAGTAAGATAACGCTATTGACAATTGTAAAGAGGTCTCGGTTAAGAAACCATAAAATTTGTTTAGCAGCAGTTAAAATCCATGAAAGACAAGAACCGCTTATCACGCGAGCTCTGGTGACAGTTCGATCGTAACTATAGGGATGCATAATGGCGAAATATCGATCTATAGTTATTAGTAATAGATGCTCAACTGAAACAAGGCACAAGATAAACGAGAAAACTGCTGCCAAGACATGTACTAAGCAACCACCGCTTGTGGTCTCGTCTTTTAGGAGAATTATAAAAAGAGCAACACGGAGAGGCTGGACAACTAAACCGACCATAACATCAGTAGATGCCAGGCAAGCCAATAGGATGTTTGACATGCTTTGTAGCCTCACCCTGGTTTTGACAGCGATCATAACCAACAGATTCAACACAATGGTAAAAGGAAACGTTGCGACATTGATTATTATCATCACAGTAAAAATAGCGTAGGCTAAATTGGAATAATCTTCTGGTTTGCCACCGATCCTCTTGTAGATGGTACAAGTCGGAGGAAATTTATCCTGAAATTGAAGGCTCGAGTTCATCGCTAAATGTTTTATAATTTCTTAACGCATCTGAATGTTCCAGTAATCTCTCGCTGTCATTCTTCTGTTACATCATTTTCGCCTAACCTGCCACATGGAAAAATTTAGAAAGTAGTTACAATTAAATTTGTAAAGCTGACGCTCCACTGGAGTGGAGAACCCTATCTATCTTTTTGGCCATATACTGTAAATCCTTTATTAACCAAGCTTGTTCAGTCAAGATAAGTGGATATAAAAAAGGACTTGGCCAATACTCAACCCCTTGACCTGATGCTTGGTCAATAACGCTTGGTCCAGGGCTGATACTGCCGGGGTTATATGGCTGTGCGCAAGCAGTCAAGCGGTCTTGGTTCACGTGTTAGTACAGTTAGTTACTTTTGAGTGTGCTCAATAGACCTCTCTGGAACTACTGGGCTAGGGACTGTTAAGGTGCCGCTTCGTTAGAGGAGAACAAAAAGCGCTACAAAAGGCTATGGCTAGAAACAGGATTATAGCAAATTCTCTTGACTATTATCAGATCTTCAAGGACAGTATAATAATAGTAAGTATAATAATAATTATAATAAAAGTAAATTATAATTATCATAAATAAACTCCCAGAATCCTTTGAGGTAATTTTTATACGTAGAAGGCCGTCAGACCACAAAAAGAGAACATTTGCCATAAAATATCTTCCCATGTCACATCTAAGGTAATGACATCATCAGTCAGTTTTGGCTATTTCCGAATAAAGTTTTTTGTAGCCTGCGCCGTAGACACTCTAAACCATCTGTATAGAGCGTCTGCAAATTAGTGCACAATATCGTCTTCTAATCCTGCAGAGTCGCAAGGACATATGTCGGCGTTATTGATTGGCTAGTATCTTACGCAGTTTGTGATTAGTTCGATTTGAATTAAGTGTTGACAGGCCAAACTCAACTCATAGCTCGTGACAAGAGAGAATGAACTCGTGATAGTGTGAAACGTGACCTTAGAGTCAGCTTGAACAACGGAGGTTTTTCTGCTTTCTCTCTTATAGCGTAGATTATGCAGTGCATAGAGTATTCTAAACTTTGACTCAGCAAATCTTATTTTTGCCGCTTTGAGTCCATGAAGCTGGTTAGTTTGAAATGCCTGGACCTGAATAGCGACGTGCAGTGTGTGTATTTTTTGGCTGATTATGATTTCCTGATTTGTTTTGATGCTAGAACTGTCAGCTAGATTAGAGAATACGCGGCAATGCATCTGCAGCGATTGCAAGAAACTGGAAAACCAGTCGGCAAATTTACAAACACATTTTGGCGTCGAAGGAATTCTTTCAAAACATATTTTTTGTTCAGAAGAAGGCTTCCAATTCGAACTGCTCTTTCATTGTTTATCGTCACTAGTCTGCACCCAACCGTCACACAAACGTTAGAATTAGGCCAATCGTGAGACGCATAAAAATTAAAACCCATTTATCAGAAAAGCTCACATATATCCTTGCGACTTTGCAGGATATTAGAACGACCTTTTGTGCACTAATTCGCAGACGGTCTACATACAACTGGTTTAGACGATGCGTGGGCCGGCTGCAACGCAGGCCAATTTTTTTTGTTGCTGTGACAAGATTTCATTAACAAGTTAAAAACAAATAGCATATATTAGGTTTTAATTGCGTGGGGCATCTAAAAATAACCAGTTGACCTCCGGCATCTAGGGGGTAATAAACATGAGCGAAAAAGTTGGGAGACTAGGCCGAGGGCTGTAGAAGGTCAACCTTTTATTACACGGCAGAAAAAAATTGCTGGAAAATAAAATTCTACCTAATAATTTTTTTTTCATGACCAAAAGAGGGACATGACGTCATCACTCACGTGATCAAAGCGTTTTGAATTCGTATAGTTCGTTTTTAAAAGTACCTTTTTTGTCATAAATTGGCAAGTTTTTGCTGTTTTTCTCAATAATTCTTTACACTGTATTGTCTCTAAGTAATTATTACCCCATTTTAAAAACAGAACCAAACGAAAACTGGGCCAGAAGTATAAAAGTTGCGTAAAGTGACCGATTTTGCAAGTTAAAATCGAAAAGGAGACTTACTCTTGAGACTTTTGTAAAATCCTTTTTCAACTTAACTGTTTGTTGGCCGAAATAAATGTTCAACGTTTGTTGTTAATAAAGGAGAACTTTGAAAACTAAAAGGATGTATTTGGCGGCCATATTGTTTTTCTTCATTCCTGGGAGAGAGGTCATGTATCAGCTCTTCTAACCCCATGAAAAGCCAAATGGTTTTCTACCCTAACCTAAAACAATGGAAATAATGATGAGCAATGTTGTGTTAATGTTTTCCCCGACCGATGAAAAGACACCTTAAGAGCAGGGAGAGAATCGTATGGTCATACAGTTCAGTCGGTAGCTGCGCGATCGATAGTTCATAAATTTCTTAAAAGTTCCCAGGCATGGACCAAGCTTGAAAGAGTATTAATGAGTTTACTTTGAGCTTTTCGTCTAGCTTCGATCAGTTAAAGACTTAATTCTACACGGAAATTAAAAAAAAAAAAAACGAAAAAGTCATCCTCGAAAACTGTCAATCACCACAGAGAAGGAAGAATATATACCTCTTTTAAACTCGAAATATTTCAGTTTTTACCGAGGTGGTCCAGTGGATAGAGGCGTTAACTTTTAGTTCTTACTGATTCTGAGGGTCCGAATCCCCTTGAAGCAAATTTCTTGTAACCTTATTATTTTTTTCTTTTTCAGTTAAAATCACTTTTTTACCGTCTCTTTTTTACCTGTGTGGTGCATATAGCTAGTAACATAATGTGGTAGATTAAAAGCATAGTTTACAGGAATATAAAAAAGGTGGTCTGTATCATAGCAAATCTACCGGTATGTTTAGTAAATAAATACTGGACACCGTTATCATGCATCACCCAGCTTAATCGTCGATTTAATTTTCAATTTTAGCAAAAATGACGCTCGTAGAAGGCAGGAATAGAAAGATACAGATAAGTTCTGCGAATAGTCTGCGAATATTTTGTCAGAAGTCATCGCGTGGTCTTGTTTGTAAGTTTTAAGATAGCGCGGCGAATAAAATACTTAGTCTAGTCGATTTACTTTGGAAATGATTTTCTTCTCTCAAGCACCTGAAATGAAAGCTTTAAAATGTATAAAACTCGATGGACTTTTTTCTCTTTGCTCTACGTGAACAATGAATTGAGGCGTAGCTGATTCCTTTTGGGTTTTGAAGCAGTGTGCAAAGTCCTGCTTGCATGTTATGTCCGAAATTATAAAATGAGCTGGTTACAGACACCGGATCGATCCCCTCCGTTCAAGCATTTCTGGTCAAAACAAAAGTCTGAACATGACCTTTCATCTGAAGAAAAAAATAACCGAAAAAGAGCAAATATTAACAGAGAATTATTTCCACCGAAGTAAGAGCCGTAACGGTTATATATCTGACTCTATTTATTTTTTTAAATTCTGTTTTATCAAACGGAGTAGCTGTTTTAGGATATTTTTGCGCTCTGATTCCAGAGACACTAGATTTCAAAGGCTTACGACAATTCCTCTGTAAGCTTTGGGCAAGTTCGATTGATATAGCAGTGAGATAAATGTTGTAACTATGAATGTTTAATGTTTGCTTTCGGGATCACGAGTTTTGAACATGATCGATCGAATTGACATATAAAATCATAGAAGTAATATTTCTAATCCATCCCCTCGCGAGGGATAATTTACGACAAAATCAGTCAGAACAATCACTGAAGATATCGGTTTGTCTATATGCTTCGAAAAAACGAAAATTCAAAAACAAAACAAGGCCAAAAACAGTCATTTTTGGAGATAAATTTTGAAACTAATATCTGTAGTATTAAATAGAATCTGTAAATATATATTTTTCTTATTTGTACAAACTTACCTTTGCGACGTTCAGTCGTAAAACTGGAGAATGGTATTGATAGTTTCCCCTCGTAAAAAGCACTGATGTCTGACGGGATGAAAATGCTGATAGCAAAATCGTACAAGACTGAGTATTTATTATATGAGAAAAACTTTTCCTACAGTAAGGACTTTATATATAATTATGGTGAGAACTTAAAATTTAAGACAGATGGGCAGTAATGCATCCATACTTAAAAATGAATTAAGATGTGATCTGACTTGATCGGAGGCAAATTGTACTGGAAAGTACTATTTTAATAAACTTTGTCGAGCCGTCGCGTGTGACAACGTACTGAAAGAAATTTATGTCCAGTCAGAAGATATAAAGCCCTCGAGTAAGCGACTATCCCCTAAAGGCGACTACACAAACATTGCATTTTTAACCGGTCGTTAATACTGAAGGTCCAAGTGAATATGTGTGCGAAAAAAAATAGTGAGTATAGAACGATACCAAAGCGATATAATAGGGCCGACTTTATTATTTTGGATCAATAGCTGGATTACCATTACTTATTTTACTTCATTGCAATCAACAGTAATCAGTGCAAAACGTACCAATAAAACTTTTAATTATCAGTTAAAATAGAATTAATTGCAACAGGACGCGTGAGGCCAAACGTAAGGAAAACAGTGATATATTTGCCTGTCTTTGGAGAGAAGTAAACAAAACTTTATTATTTTCGCAAAGTAGTCTGTTGGAATTGGAATCAAGTACATTTAATCAGAAAAGCAAAGGTCGCGCCTTGGGGGTTCAAATCTAGATCGGCGTAAATGCCGTACGTTTGACTGGGACGTGAGGTTTTCTGCTGGCTCTCTGTCTTGCTCTGAGCCAGTTGCTTTTCTCCGGGCATTACGCAGTTTTTCCCTCTCCTCAAAAACCAACACTTCCAACTTACAATTCGAACGTACTGCACGAACACTTTGAAACAACTTTTTGAGAGCTCCTTAAATTAGTGTTAATCCCATAATCGCACTGGTAAGCAAACAAATTACATTTGCTTTGAGAAATTTATTTCGGCTTTCCCGATTTTCTCGATTTTTATCTACGGATGGTTAGTTTTAGAATTCTAAATTTCTCAGAATAGTGAATCCAATTA